TATGTTGTGTGAGTATTTTGCCTGGTCCTTATTGGAGGTGCTGAGCTAAGCAGGGAAAAGAAACCTTTGGACAGACTGCTGTCCTAATTTGCAATATCCACTGCCAACCTGTCATAAGACTTTATGGTTCAGGTTTTTATAGATCCAGGAATCTTCTCAGGGAAATCTGGGTTAAACATGAACAGCTGATTAAATGTGTCTGTCCTCCTAAATATGACAGAAATGCTAAAATCAGCTACAGGGACAGCTGTTACCTCTTGATTATTGTGAGACGATGAGTGGACACGTTCCACGAACCTTAGAACAGGTGCAACCTAGACAGGTTTATTAAAACACTACAGTAGTAACTATCCAAGTATGCAAGGCATTAGGATCTGGTGGGGTGATCATAGAGATAGACTTGATTAAATACTTGGAGATGTCACTTTGGTTCTCCAACTTGAGAGGCGATGTATAAATCAGTTTCTATCATTTGTTTCAACTGGCATCTTTCAGGGAGGTCTGAGGTATCAGGGCAGATTCATTTAAGACATAAACTCAAAAGATTATTTAATCACTGCTGTGCCAAACTTGGTGAATCTTATGAATGTAACTACTGTATTGCCCTAATTCATTGCTTACTGCGTGTCCAGTACCCTCTGTTCTTGCTATGTAAATTTAGATGTAAGGGTAGACATTTTTTTTTCCCTGACCTTGGAATTAAGGTTAAAAAAAAGCTTGTCCTACTTTTGGATTAATATATTATGTTTTGTAATGTGGTGAGAAGATGAGTTTGAGCCCTTCCAGCATTTAGGAGGAAAGGCTGCTTTTGGATGATTTAATTGCCATGAAAATCCTTTTGGCAAACAGCAATGAGATCCAGTGCAACAGTGCTGTCTGAACACCTTGGAGGCTTTGCTTTTTTCCTTTACCTGCCACAGTAGAATCAGCTCATCTGCCCAGGTGCTGCCACTGTAATGCATATTTTACTCAATCCTTATTTTGCCTAAAGCAATGGCTGATACTATTTTATGGTAACAGTTTTCAAAAGCCGCATCTCTGTTCAGTTGTGACCTTCCAAGGACTGCTTTTTTGTCACAGGGGTGTTAGGACTCTTCATATATACACTTCGTAATGGCACTTATCTCATTCGAGTGCAAATGGAAAAGGCTGGACGAATTATGAGAAGAAATAACATTTTTAGAATTTATCCTTCCTGTTTTTTTCCCTTCTATACTGTAGCCCCCTTTTCCGCTTAGTCGTGGGGTAGCAATTACTTGTTCTCTGTACAGTTGGGCCATATCTGAGTGTTCTTGCAATACATGCTTTTCTTATAAATAATAAGATAAGGTAGGTAGTGGAAGAATCTCACTTTGAAAGAATTATACTTCTCATACATCCTACTTAGGTATAGTTTTGAATTGGTGCACCCAAAGAGGTACAAGACCTAAAGCAGTAACAGGATCACTTTCTGTATAAGTGACTGTAGTTTTGAAAGTGGTGGTATTCCTGCACTGAGAGTAAAAGGAAATTAAAGGAATTTGCAAGAGTAAAACAGCAGAAAGAGACGTAATTCTTGAAATTAATTAAAAAAAAAAAAAAAAGTGTCTTGGCTAAGCTCCTCATTATTCTAGTTTTTACACAATCACAGCTTTCTTAAATGTGCAAGCTGTAGATGTGTTACAAGTCCAGTCTTAGCAAAGTATAGAAATGGAAATAATCATGAAACTGCCAATTAGAGAAATTTCACTGAGAAAATATGATTACTGAAAAGATCGCATTCATTTATAATGAGTATGTTGAATGAGTGCTACACACAAACTGAATAGTCGAGATACGGAAACTATATTTTACCTTAAGTAGACTGAAAGATAAACTAATTGTCCTGTGTGCAATCATAGCTTCTCTTTGAGATTATTCTTCCTCAATGAAAACTACCTATGCCTGTGGTTTGTTGTCTGCACAACCTACAGGCACCTCGTAACTCTACTGCTGCTCAGCTGCTGCTCTGAAACTTAGATTCATTTCTACGTGCAAAGGGACTGAATGTGACGGTGCCTTGTGGCAACATGTAGGGAGTTGCTAGTGACACCCTACAGGTTTCATGTAATGTCATAAACAACTCTGCTCTTTGTCATAATAGAGAAACTTTTTTTTTTTTGGCTGCAAATATTATTTGTGGTTTTTGTTTGTTTTAGCCACTGAACATATTGTTCCAGCCATTTCTCTGTAGTGTGCCTGGTCAAATTAATATTTAACTTTTTATAGGCTGCTGGATGAGCAGGATAATTAAAAACCTCTTAAATCAGGAATATACTAAAAAGATTTAAAAAAAAATATGTTTTACACAGAATGTGGTGGATAACAGTCTATTCCTGAGTGACATCTGGAAAAGGAAAAGCCAAGGCTGTCAAAAGCTTGCAAGGGATTTTTCCTCTTGCTCAGAATCCTCCTTATGTTTACTAAATATTTCGTCTTCTGACTAATAAGCAATAATCATTAATGTCTCCACAGTTTCTGGGTTCCTGAAGTTGGCACTCCAACACAGCTGTAATTTGGCCAGCAGAGCTTTCTTTAAAGCTTTATTTTGGACAACTGTCCCTAGCCTGTGCCATCGAGAATTTTTTTTCAGGGTAATGTAATATACAATCTTTCAAGACTGTCCTAAAACCTTTAGCGGTCTTTGGATCATGCCCTGGTGTGGGGAGAGCAAGGATTTGGCAGGCTGAGTGTAACTGAAAGCACTCCGTCAGTATGCTAAGACAAATGTGTGCTTTACCAGATCTGGAAACAAACCACTTTGTGAATTTCAGTGTTGTGTAGATGGTGTTACTTATCAAGCATGCACTGTGAAGATAAGATTTTACTTGTGGTGCCACAGAACAACTGAATGCGTACTGAAGAGTTGTAGTATGCATTTTACTTTAAAACTTCATATTTTAAGGAAAATGAATAATCTGCTTATGGAAAATTCTTAACTTCTAAAAGAAACTATCTGGATAGCTTGCTTGGATGTGAGGAGGAAAAAAAAGAAAAAACACAAAAGGGCAAAACTACAGAATGTGGTTGCCTTTAAGAGAAAATTCACTGAGTATATGTCTGCAAACATGTTTTGTTTACCACTGTTTTTTTTTATTCATGAAAGTATGAAACCACGAGGTAAATGATAACTTTATCTTTGTGAAACAGCCCCTCTAAAGTCAAATTTGATTCAGATGCCTGTCTATTACACGCAGGTCAGATCTGTACCCAACAGTGCAGTCATTTCCTTTTACATGATTTATAGAAATTTGAACCAAAATTCTTGAGCACATCACCTTGAGGAAAATTCGCGAGCAAACCAGCCCAAATTCTGCAGGCTGGATCTATCCCTAGTTTTAAACACTGTCAGTAATTTTATTTCTGTTAAGAAGCTTTTTATCTATGAAAGTTGCAAGGAATGCTTCAGGATGTGTCTGCATTAGCAGGCAGCATGGTGCAGTAGGGGCCATGTTGGTACTGAGGACATGGCAGCTCCACAATACGTGGTTCAGGGAGGGCTTATTTAGGTCTAATATCATTGTGTGGACTGCATTCCCATTAGTGGTTGGTGTGCATTCCCATTAGTGGCATTAGCAGAGATTCTCTTCTAGTTGAATTTCGTCATAAAGGAAATCATCGTGCGTGCAGTTTGGTGGGCGATGTGAACCAAAATGCAGTGAGTGGGAATGATGAGGGATTTACTTTCAATAGTACACTTCTGATCTGACCAGAAGCGTTAGTGCAATTTTTAGGTGGTGGAATGTGGTTGAAAACCTGAAAAGGCTATTGAGTTATGGAAAAAGCATAGATTCTTTAATTACTTTAATGAGCTTTTGAAGTTTCAGATTGTTGGTAACTACTTCAGCGTTACGTAAGAGACTAAAAGCATTCATCTTGGAACAATTGATACAAAAGCACCCTATAAACTAATCTGTGTGTGTTCAGATGCAATTCTTATCTTGCTCATTTGGAGAATTACAATTTCATGGAAGTTTTTACTGTCTCACAGAATAGCCCCACTGTTTATGCAGTAGTAGCATAACTGAGGAAAGCTTTTCACAGCTGTTGATCAACATTTGAAGAGTTCAGATAACAAGCATATGAAGTCACACTTATTATCTTTCTCTCCATCTAAAAATAAATGCCATAGCTGGCTCTGCTTGTAATATGTATCTAAAAAAGCCTGGTCACAGCTGAGCAGCATAGTAGCATTACGCTATCATGATTTACTGGGTGTGCCATTCTTAAGCCAGCAGATAAAGTGGATCATTCTTTAGCTGGACACATTACATAGGAAGGATTTGTGCCAGTAACCCCTGACACCCTACTGAGGTAAAGAATGTGGCCTTGAGCACGCTGCAGAGAGAATTGCTGTATCTTTCTCTCACTTTTAAATCTCTGTATTCTCCCAGTCTGAAAAGAAGATAGGACGTGATTTCCTAATTTTCTTCTCTATTAGGATCAAAGATTCTTGTCCCTGTATGAATTGCAAATCTGTGCTTCCTTTATATTACACTGGTGTAAACATTTTCACATAGGTTGGTCCTTGCAATTAGATAGGCTTACCTTCTCACTCTATGAAAGTCATCTCTGACCTCAAACCTCTCAGAATAGCACCATGCCATGATGCAATGCCACTGAACTTCCCCCAAAGATTTGGCATCAAGTCATGTTATGTGACTTTCTTTTAACCTAACACTTCTTGTAGCTACATTCCTGGGAGTTTCCCCATGTTTTTGATTGGTATGTTTGCCCTGTTAAAGAGAGTTTGAGGTCTTCAGTTTTGAAAGCACATAATTTCATTCAGTGTCAGAAAACTAATTTTGCCCAGATTATATGTTCAAATGCCTCGTTTAAAAATTGTTTCATTCTTGCCAGCTGTTTGATAAATCCAACGCATACTGCTCTGTGTGTCTGAAAATGCCAAACTTCTATTATTGTCAAGCCACTTGACACTCACGCTTTCTCATTTTTCTTACCTGTTGAAAAGAAACACAGAATTTTCATGGTATGTAGTGATTTATTTTTACTTTCATTTGCTCCACAAATAAATGAACATTAAGCAATTATTGTAAAACACTAGTGGCATTTCAGGTTTGTAAAAATACACATTATATGCACTCTCAAAATGATTTTCACGTTTACTTTATGAATTCTGCTCCTCCATGATACGTGAGGAGCAGAATTGTGTTTTGTGCCTGAAAAAAATTCAGGAACTAACCTTTAGAAGGGTGCATCTCTGTATGCTTTTGGTACGCAGGCTTAAATTTTAAATGCAGGGACACATACATTTTAAAAACATTTAAATTCAGAAATGATAGTTAAAGACACCTTGAAAAGTCTTCGAGTATACAAGCATTTAATTTCAGGCTTTGTGACTCATCTCAATTTTAAAAATAAATTTAAAGTATATACAGCTTCTAATTTTGATTCTCTATTCTGCTTACATTTTAAGCTTCTTATGTATTTTAGAATGGGAAAAGTATGTAAGATTTTTTGCCCGTGAGTCGTTCACTTCTGCTATGAATTGATGAATGGTGTTGATGTTTTTGGAAAATGCTAAGGCTGAATTTGTCAGACAGGTGTATGTGTATGCAGCTAGCACCTAACTTAAAGCAATTCAAACCTTAAAAGCGTTTCAGAAGTTGATTTAAAAACTGTTTTCATCCAGCTCCGTCCCCACCTCCCCCTTGGAAGTTCATCAGGCTTTTCATAAAAGATCTTTCTCCTGCCTATTATCAGTCATTTTAAAAGATGTCCAAATTTTAATTACCAGAAATAAAGGTATTATAATGATATTTTCCATTGTAACTATTAAGGAAATTAAGTGATGGAGAGGCAAATAACAGTACCATTTTCTGCAGAAAGGTTTTTAAGTTTACTTTCATTCTTGCTTTGCAGTGAGTTCCTATTAGAATATTTTTTTTTTTCCAAAAAGCAATGTATGTGTGTGCATGCCTCAGAACAATTTTCTGCGAAGTGATGTGAAAGCTAATTTCATTGTAAATCACTGAAACAACATGGAACTGTTTTACTTCTTACTAAATGGTCTTTATTCAATAGGCATTTTCTTGTATGAATCGGTATTTATTCCTCATCACATTTGCTGCATCAGAAAATTAAGTAAATATAACCCCAAATTCAAAGCAAAGTAAGCGAAATCTATTTTTTGGCACACATTAATGATACTTGAATAATAGATGGTTGAAGCAGACATGAACATCTGGTTGCTTTGTACTATCCACGTAAAATAGCTGCTTATCTAATGATCTGTCAATTTTCTGTATTTGGTAGCGCACAGCCTGTAACACAATGAGGCTTTCAGTGTTTTTTGCTGCTTGCACAGATTCTTAATTTATGTTAAAAATAATGTCTTGATTACAGGATGTGTGGATATACTGTAGTGATCCTGTAATACCTCTGCTGTTTCACTTTTGTTATTCCAGTACAGCTGTTTTAGTTCATACTCCACCGAGTTATATTGGCAACTTCAAAGATAATCCTTTGACAGAATTTTACTGGTATAGTACGTTACTGCTGGTTAATAGGGACTCCCACCTTGCTCAGATTCCCATTAGAGACAGTTTAAAAGCTGCTACTTTGGATTCAGGCGGGAGTCCTGATACTTGTACTGCAGTTCTAAGCTGGTAATGGCCTCTCGTGTGCATGCATGTATGTGTGTGCTAAGGTAAGACTAGCATTTTGGGTAAACAGTAACTGCTTCATATCCCTCTGGTGGCCTCATGCGAGCTCGCGCATGAGCTTCACAGTAGAGCTGGCCCTCCACGAAGAAGTAGCCCTTTTGTTTCAGGTTAAGATTGCAGTCAGAGCACACAAAACATTCTGGGTGCCGGTATTTATCCCGTGCCTTCACCACTGTCCCTCTATATGGAAACAATTACAAGAAAAAAAAACAACCATTAATTCATAGGAATTTACAGTGCAAAGAAACAGCAGTATGACACAAAGCAAGTTCTAGGTATCTCTCTGAAGGCCTTTGTTTCTCTGGTTTTGCCAGGCACTGCAGAATCTAAGACTGGAAATTGAGTTTGAGTAAGCGAGATATAAAAGGCATTAGAGGGGATGATGTAGACTGATAGTTTATTGGAGAAACAGGGTTTGAAGAATCACGTTATTTTGGCTACGCAGAAAGTACAGTCCCACCTATCAAAATAGTGGTAAATGAACTTATAACACACATTTCCTTGGTGACTGCGGTCTGAGCTCATCACTATCTGTGTCCTTTGCTGAAGTTAGTGATGTCATTCAAACATAAATCTGAAGTTTCAAAATAGGCCTCAGTTTTCCAGATACTCCCACTCACCTGGGAGAGGGGTGCTCTACACCCCTGAGCAACCTGGCGAGTTCACAGCCTAACACAACACAGCACGGGTGACTGCTGTTTTCATTAGCATGTGTTAATGATTGGCTTGCAAAAGGCCCTGAGACACCTTAATTAAAACTTCCACAGTACATTGTCAAAACTGAAATTGTCTGTATTTAAAGTGGCTAACATGTAAAAATATATTGACCTAAATCTCAAATCAGTAGCTCTTATCTCTGTTTTCTAGAAGCATTTTTTTTTGTCTCTCAGGCAGAGACCATCACTTGATAAGGATTCCTGTCATTTGTGATGGTGTTCAAGGGTATGTGCTTACGCTAGAGATTTCTAAAACTAGAAAGAAACAACTTACAGAATTCCGCTCCCACATTTGTCACACTGTGGCACTTTCTGGGCACCAGGCAAGCCGGTGGGTATCTTTGTCACAGGTGCTTTCACACTTCTTGTACCCACAGGGCGTCCATCTGAGAACCAAAACATTTCTGTTAAGCACAGGCTGATATAAAAGCAGCTGAAGCAGTTAAGCACTTTTCCTGTAAATACACACTTCTGGATGTATTTCCAGGCGTTCACTTATGCCAACTAATAATGAAGTTTCTCTGTACGAGTTTAGTGGGCCAGATCCCATGTCTTTGGGCTTGGGAAGGATATTGTATGCTATAGCCAAAAAGCAGGTACAGCTGATTAAAAAGATAGTGCTTTCTGTCTCATAGGCATCTGCTAATTGACTGGTTGCAGATCCTGGGTATAATAGGAGAAGGAGGAGGATTTGGCTTTAACATAGCACCTTAACATAGTCAAGACATATTCTTTGAAAGCTTAGTTCTTATTTGTATAACTAACCATACAAGAAATCCAGAAAGATTTATAACATAATACAAATATGAAAATACAGCAAAGTACAAGAAGAAGATTACCCCCAGAATCCCACAATAACGTATGTACAGAAAAAATAGAAATATTTATTCCTTCTCTGGAAAATATTTAGGTATAAAAATTGAAATGATAAATATTTAAATATTTTTAGGTTATTTTTGGTTATATTTTACTACTTATGCTTACTGTAAATGTAAGAAACCTACAGCTTTTAGTTTAATGTTCCTTTTTATTTTCAAAACCTCTTCATTTGAAGGAAATATGACTGTAAATGGTATTGTTGTCTTCAGTTTTTATTTAAAATGCAGAGGGGATGAGTAAAACTTACTTTGGGAGTTGGTTTATAGTTCTCTTTTCCTGGATGTGGAAGAGAGAGTTTTGTTTCTTGTTATGCCAAAAGCTCTCTTGCATAAAACCTCATTCAGCTGTAATCAACTTTGTACACTAACAGTCTTAAAATTCTGAGAAGAGATTCTGAAAAATGTAATTAACATTCCCCATCTCACTCACATGGGACATTGCTAGCTATAAAAGGCAGGGGAAAAATGTTAGTAGGCTTGTGTCAGATTCAAAAGGACTTGGTCTGTCAGAACTTCGTGTAGTTCTGATCTTTCTTATTTTATTCTCAGATCCCCCCCTTCCCACAAACATTTAGAAATACTTTGAACAGGTAGAATATGTCATTATTAACCACCTTCCTCGGAGACTAAATTCTGGAGCACCTTAAAGGAGCCAGACTGACGAGGTTGGCTGGGCTCCTCCTGGTTGGCGTGCAGCATCCTGTACACGTCGGACTGAGGCACCGCGGTGGGAGCTGGGTCACTGCATCGCAGGGAGGAAGAGCAGATAAAGCAGTTAATGAACATAACTTAGAAGCAATAGCTCTGACAGGCATAGAATATGTTTCAGGAAACAAATGTAAAGGCGAGTGAATTTCTACAACGACTGAAGGGCTCTTTCCTCCAGGTAGTATTGCTTTATATAGTCTTCTCTTGATCTAATGCACTGGAAAAAAATTCAGTGGAATTCATACAAAAATAAATCTATGAACTCATGACAGTATTTCCATAATTACTGCCCTGGCTCTTAACAACATTTGGAAATAAGCCAGTACTTGCATTTAACTTCAAAGCAGTTGCATTCTTGTGATCAACTGCTGTATTAGCAGATGCTCTCTGGTACAGTATCCAGAAATTCCATTGTCACAGCAGCTGGCCTCAAGAATGCTGATAAAATCACAGCTCATGTCTTTACATGGGGCCAGCCAAAACCTAAACAAACACTTTGGAAGAGTGTCATGAAGTCAAGATATTCTTAATTTTTGAAGTTGGCTCAGTCAGCCAAATTCATATTAATAATCAGGTAATTATTTATCTAAGCTAATTGTTACTTATTTAATTTATGGAGGTGTCAAAAGAGAATGAAGTAAGAATTGTGTGGTAGAGAACATCGTAAGATAAACACTGTTGACTGGAAAATTTATTTTGTAAATTATATTAGAATGGCACATGACTTATTTTTTTGTAATGACAATTTTATGATAATTGTATTATTGATTTATAAATATAAGGTAAATTTTTGTCCAAATAACACTTAAATTCACTGACTCGTTTGGGTTGGAAGGGACCTTAAAGCCCAGCCAGTCCCAACCCCCTGCCATGGGCACGGATGACTCCCACCAGACCAGGTTGCCCAAAGCCCCATCCAGCCTGGCCTTACATCTCCAGGGATGGGGCGTCCACAGCTTCTCTGGGCAGCCTGTGCCAGTGCCTCATCACCCTCTGAGTGAAAAATTTCCTCATAACATCTTATCTAAATCTCCCCTCTTTTAGTTTAAAGCCATTACTCCTTGTCTTATCTCTACACTCCCTGACAACAGTTGATGGTTGAATTTCCAATGACCTGTGAACTAAGGAATGTACCAAGAATATTTCATGGTATTTTAAACTGTGCTGAGTATTTTAAATTGATCATGATAACTAACATATTGAGTAGCTGAAAAGAAGAGCAGGTGACTGCATGCACTGTCAGGAATTAGGCCAAATGTGTGGCATCTGTAAATTTCAAACTGCTACTGGGACTAATTAGAAAGGTCAAAATTCACTTCAGTGCAGTCTGTTATCTCACTGATATTTGTGTAAATGTCCAGTTTAAATTTAAATGTCCAGTTTAAATTTCCTGTTACAACTGGCTTCTAACTCTCTGTTGAACCTTAGGTTAAGTTGCTACTGGAAAAACAAACAACACAAAAACAAACAAACAAAAACACTAATTTCACAAGGAAACTGTTTTTGACAATTTTGTTTGTTTCCCAGGATAACATCTAGACTGTCAAATGGCACAGTAAGAGCAGCAGCATTTGGGCAGCTAGCTAGAGGCCACTGCTGATTATATTAATTGCTTACATCTTCAAGAATCAACCAGCTTTCTCTGAGCCATTTTTAAGCCAGTGAATAAAATACCATTTTCTTCTCTCCTTGTAAACTTTTAATCTAAAGAGTGAGCTCTTTTTTAAAAATATCTAATTAAACCCTTGATTCTCTCTTCTTTACTAAACTATTCCTAAAAGTCAAACAAGTGATAATACAATTACATACAAAAGCCAAAAATCAGGCACAAGGGTATGAGAAAACATTTCTAAATTCATACCCAGTGAAAATGAATCTCACTACAAAAGAGAGATTTCAAACCTGTGTAGACAGATAGTCCTCAAACTGGGAATGCTACAGGCATTCATGAAACCTGATTACTCTGGGCTTAATCCACATTTCAGAATAAGGAAAAAGTAAGTTGTCTTTTTTTTTTTTTTTTTTTTTTTTTTTTTTTTTGTGATTGAGGATAAGATTCATGCAGTAGAGTAACATCACTCAGCAGACTTCGTGAAGTACGGTTTTGTTTTCATCAGATTAGCATAAACTTCAATACTAGACAAATATGATTTTTACTGTTAGTAACAGCCCAGTTCTGCAAGGTGCTGAAAAAGACTCATTGGTGCCAGAGATTATTGTTTATTTAAAGTATTAGTAATTAGCTTTAGTTTACATCATACATATTATAGATTATTAACTTAAGTACTGTTGTGAAACAGAAAAATAAGTTACTATTATGCAAAAGTAGAGATAAAACAGTATGAATGATAAATTGTACCTTGAAAAACATGAGTAGAGCTTTAAAACATTTTATTATTCATCAGTACTGTCCAGATTCACAAGGTTCCTACCTGCCTTTCAGTTCCTGTAGTAGGTAAAATTCATGAATCGGCTTTTGACCTTTACAGAGATCTCTCAGTAGGCCTAAAAAGTCAATTCCAGCTCTTTTTGGAGAAAAGCTAGTGGTACTGAATGAGTTGTCCTGGGTGGGCGCTAAAGAGCACGAATACCTACAAGATCTCCTAAGCTTCATAACTTGAATTTCAATGGTTGAAAGAAATGCCAGTTAATAATAATAATGCATTAACAGGTTAATAAGAATAAATTCTTAAATAGCAACAATTAAAACAGTAATAAATAGTTGTGAATTTTGGAGGGAATCCATCTTGAATTGGAGTGGTCGGTCAGCTTACAGGAAAGACAGTTGAATCAGCTTTTCCTTGGTAGCTACAACTACGAGATGATTTCCTATGAAAGAGTTATTTGTAAAATCTGAAAGACTTTTAACACTTTTTCATTCAAAGTACATAAATTACTAATAGATTAATGAAAATACATAATGTTTTTAAATAACTTAGTTTCTCTCTAACCCTTTCACTTGTTGTAGAAACCATGTAAATTGTTAAAGCCTGGGATTGTAGGTATATTCTGAATTTGTATATCCAACAATATTAAACGTACTGCTCTAATTACCTCATGATGGGTGTTTCCCCCAGAGCTGTAGAAACTTGGCCTTGCAGTGTTTCCATGATATTGTCATCTGAGTACAACTGCATGGGTGTGTTAAACTGAGCATGTACAATCTTGACACCGGGCAGCTCCATTTCCAGGGGAACGTTAGGGGCCATCTTAGACACCGCTTTCAGCTCGGTGGGGCAGATAGAGCTGACGGTGCTAATGGAAGAGGGGGTGCTGCGTCCACTGCCACAGTCAATCCCCGAAGGAGTACTGCATCCACTGTGTTAATTGCACGTTACAGCCAGATTGCAGAAAGGTGTGCAGTGCGTGTCGGATTATAGAGAAGAAAGACAAAAGTACAGGAATACGGTGATGTTAACAAGGCTGAAAAGCATGAATATAAATACAGAAAAGCCAAAGTAGAGAAAGTAGAGAAAAGCAAAAGTATGTGCAGTTCACTGAAAAGTAAAAGCATCAATGCCAGTTATAAAGCATTCCTCAAAATTCTGGCATGCATTATCTTTAAAGACAAAAATATAATAGATTGAAATAATTCAGAACACAGTATTACTTTGCATTTGGAATGCTAGATTTTCTTTGAGGATTAATTAAGCCTCACTAAAACTTCATTGTTCTAAGTGAGTAATTTCTAAGATCTCCAAAAGGGTAGCTTACAGAAGTTATGCGAGTTGTACGTGTCAGTGACTGAATAAACACCTGCAATACTGGAATCCTAAATGCACCATTCCAGTCCTGTACCTCGTAATCCATCTGAGGCTGAAGAGACTACTATAAAGTCACATAATAAATCCAACATTTCTTACATTTCCTTGGTATTTATTAATCTTTTAAAATATATTTAACAACATATAAATATATATATATATATATATTTGTTAAATATTTGTTGCATATTCCAAAGAAAAAAAGATGTGAAAATAGCCAGGCATACTTTTGCTTTTCTAAATTACAGTGTTTCCAGTAGAATGTAAAATGGTCCTTCACAAAAACAGTGGCTATATATTCAAATAATTGTTTCAAGTAGATTTTACATGTGATTTATATAAAATAAAAAGGATGTGAAATTTTATATCAATGTTGGTCTACATTACTGGAGTAAAGTTGCTGCACAGCAACATGAAGTCTGTTAAGAAGAACTAGTAAAACAATGCAAGCATTAGTCTTTTTCAATGTCACTAATCTCAATACTTCAGTCGTTTCTCCATAGCACCTCAGAGGCTTTCTTGGTTCAGGGATACTTCTTCCTGTTGCTGTGTACCAGCACTTAACCCAGGCTTTCCACAGGCTACCATTTATATGAAATTCAGAGTCAAGAGATGATAAATGCTTAATCTTTTTCCTCCAACCTGCACATCAGGGTTATGTTAGTTCTTTCCAAGATGAACGATTCTGTGTAAACCAGGGAGTGTATTACATTTCACAGTTTGTGCAGTGCAGTACTCTGCCCAGTAACTACTCGTGTATGGAGAAAACCCAAATTTTCCCTTTGATTCAATGGAGAATTTGTGTAGGACCACTTTCTCAAAATTGTGAAGGGAAATACTTTGTCTACAATTCAAGGCACATCAAAAGAAAGGTAATTCCACGAATGGTAGGCAAGTCTGAATGCAAAAGTACAAGCTCTGTATTATCACCTAGGCGAGTCAGACAAAAATATTAATACATGGGGCAATTTAAAAATTTACAGCCCTTTTTTTGTGTGTGTATGTGTGTAAAATAGTAAGACCACCCTTAGATTATGCAGTAAAATAAGTTTTGTCGGTGCTAATAGTGTTAGTAAATGGAAAATAAGAGAAGGACAGAAAAAGCATAAATCTTGCTCTGAACAGCTGAAGTAATGTTAAAGCAGAATAAAGTGAAGTATAAATAAAATATAATCATATATAAAGAAGATAATTTCCACTTAGTTTTGTCAAAGTCCAGTCCAAAATTATGGCTAACGTCAAATCTGTTAGTTCAATCCCATAGTCCAGAATCAGCTCTTCTTTTAGTCAGTGCTGTTTAGTCTCAGCTGTCTGTTCTAAAGGGATAATTGCAAGTCAAGATGGAGGTTTGGGTTTTTCTGCTGTATTTAACAAAGAGTATTTTTACAGCCAAACTGCTGAAAAAGTAGGAGACAAACAGTGTGACAGCCAGGGTTTTGTGGAAGTAAGATTCTCCATCAGAGATTCTGCAGTTTGTAAATATGGACTTCTTTGACACTAAAACACCACACAGACTTGCCCAGCTAAAGTTCTGTGACTTGGTGCATTTCTGACAGGTTGGTATTATCTGGCAAGCTGGAAAATAGCCATTTATTTCATCATTTTTACTGAAAATATTGTATAATTGAGATTTCTAAATTACGAGAGTAGGCTCCCAACACACCCAGTTGAGCTTCTGTAAATCTGATTAGGTACCTGCAGATGGTACTGAGTGGTCCTAAAGACAGTCTAGGCTTTTGTCTATCTTTTTTTTTTTTTTTTACATATATATACACACATATTTATATTTTAATCTTCTTTATTTTCTATCTTCTTTTGTCATCTTTTTTGTCTAGTCTACATGTAAATGCTGCTGTTAGAGGCCACATATGTTTCCAAAGCAACACATCCTACAAAATTGATAATCCATATGAGATTGTCATTTTTTTTAAAAAAGTCTTGTTTATCAGACTCAAAATAGTATAACTAAAATACAGGCAGTTTGACCTTCAGTATGAAATACAGAACGCTAAATCCACCAGTAAACCCTGTTACTGATAGAAAGGATAAAGGATAGCATCGTATTGCATCACTCAAGCTTTTTTGAACTTCCTTGCATTTTAACCACAGAATTTGTATTGTTTTTTTCCTCTGTCTATTTAATATTGTAAATCATAGTAAGCCAGGCATTTCGCCCTCAGTTATGATAGAGAAATATTACACCAAAACAAGGGATGTAAATATATGATGTTTTCTGCATTCTAGAGCTTTACAGGTCTTAGTATCAGGTAGTTCTGTTTTAGCACTGCATTAGGTCATTAGGTTGTCTTCTGAATAGCCGTCTGCTGAAAAATAAACTTAAAATCTCTGTATAGCATAGATGGTAATTAAAAAAAACTAGCTATCTTTTATTTAGCAAGTTAAGAAGTTACATATATTTGCACTTGGGCAGAAGAATTCCACAGCTCTGTAAATTTGTGTGTACAATACCTGGTGCTACACTGTAATCTTAATCATATTTATGAATATAGTTCCTTCAGACTTGCATCTGTAAAACTGAGAGTAGAGTCTCGTCCTACTTTCTTTTGGAAATTTTGAATTTCAAGCCTGATATCTGCAAGTCCATCAACTCAGGTTTTTAAATTTCAGCATTAAGTTATACACCACTGTAAGTTAACTTCAAATGCCTCAGTATGCTCCATTAATATGGGTTGTGAGTATCCATTAAAAAATAACACCATGCATGCAAATCCATCACAGCACTCCAAGTTTATAACCTGCTTCGGCCTGGGAGTATGAAAGGTTTGGGCCGAATATTATGCCTGTGTTCAAAGTAGTTGATATCCTGTAAAGACAAGAGGGTTAAAATAACTTCCTTTGGCCTATAGATGCTTATTTCTAGTTAAAAAGTAGGTAATAAATGTTTGAAGTTGTAACCATGAAGTAAGCATGTTTATTTGTACATTCCTGGTACATAGAAGACCATCACTTTTGTGCTGAGAAACTTCGAGAATAACGGGCAGTTAGAGAAGGATGAGAGATAGAGCTGCTGCCCAACACGGGGCAAATTAGTAGCTACCTGCAGTGCTGCTACTACAGAGTTGAGTGTAGAGTGTTCTGTGCTGGAAAAAAACTGCTTCAATTATCACAATTTTTTTTGGATAATCAACAAACCCCTGATTATCAGCCAAAACAGCAAGAGCTGGACTTTTTAATTGAAAACAGAACAGATAGTGATATAACACAAATGAGTGGGTATTATTATAAGGAGATACCAGTACTCACTTTTGCGATGAGTTAGGAATGAGACTCCTCAGTTGTCCATGAAGCGCGTCTTGTATATTGCCAGATGAATACAGCCCAATTGGAGAATTATAGGAGGAGCTCACTACCTGTCTTTTGTCATCAATATTTGCTGCTGCAACAAAAGGCTGGGCCCTTCTGTTGTGAGCCGTACCAATAGGCTTGAATTCCTGTACGTGATAGGCAGACAAAATACACAAAGCTACAATGCACACCAAAGCTAGTAATGAGTAAAACTGACAACATCAGTATTGTTAATCTCTGCATTTTTTACTTTTGCAACTTTGTTATTTCTTAACTGGTGCAAGCACACTATATTTTTCCATGAATTTTCTATTCACTACTTAAGCCATATACATTCAGAGACTGTTTTGTGCTTCAGGGCAAGAAGGTATTCCACACTGGTAAGTAGCATATGACGAAATGGGAGGGATGAATATTATAGCAACCTGTTGTATCGTTCTCTATATTTTACAATGTTTATGTTCATTGTTTAGAAATGTTTCACATATACTTAGTTAGTTAATTACTTTGTTTTAGTGTTAGTCTCTGATTTCTGCCTTTTTTTCCCCCCCATATTGACTGGAAGTTGCAATGGTAAGATAGCACAGATCATTAGTATTATAATGAGAAATATATGTTCAATAAATTATATTTCAATGAGAATATATCTCTGCCGATTCTCTGATTTGGTCTTGTTTTTGAGATGTGTATTTTTCATAGTGTTTGGACTTCCAAAGATTTAGGCAAATCTGCAGAGGATGAAACGTGAAGTGAGAATAGGACTTTCACACCTGCTGAGTCCTTTCTTATTCCTAACTTTTGAGTTCAAATCTCTGCTAGAAAATGTGATGGGGTAATAGGAATACATCTACAATACTATACAGATACGTATACTGCTATAGACCATTTCTGTATTTATGTTGATATCACGCTGCGTCTTATGACTATAGAGAGTTTAAATTCTGATACTCCTGAATGAGATTTATTCCAAATTGTACCTTAGGTACTGGAGCTTTTGACTTAATCACTGTGTACAGTTTATGCTATGCGTTTACTATCACATACTTTGTAATGATGACACATCAAACATCTTCAGTTTTAACATTACTCAGGTGCAATTGTGGTCTTTTGGTCATATCTTGCAAGCGATACAAATCAGTCTCCTGATAAATAAAATTTTAAACCAAGTTTGTATTTTTTTTTAAATGTAGAAATGCCTTTTTAGATTACCTAACCTTTAGGAATGCTAGAAAAATTTCTGGTTGAAATAAAATACAACTTATTAGCAACAAGTGCAATATAATTTTAATACTGAAATCCATGGAATAAATCAAGATAAAAAGACCAGATTAGGTAAGCATGGACACATTTTTGACATCTGTAGGTTTTTATTTATTCCCCAAACATTATTGCCATTTTATTTTTTTTTTCTTCAGAAAATACCAAGTCTCTGTTCAAAGATTTGGTGAATAATTTATAAAAATTCTGAATGCCTCAATGTGAATTGGCCCTGTAGTTTTCATTTGAAAAATCTGAACGCTTTTAGAAATATATTTAGGAACAAACCTTAAGAAAAGTCATGGTTATATAGAGTGTGCAGCCAGAAATGCAAACAGTAAAAAGCAGCTTTATTAAATGGAAATGTTTAGCAGCACTACACTGGAAGAGATTACTGAAAGCAGCAATCAGATAAACGAGCACAGAGATTTTACTTGCAGTTCTTCATTTCTGTCTAGTAGAATTGGGTTGCTGTTGACAAAATGTATTAGTAAATGGAAGTAAGCTTCTACTGTTTAGGATCATGTTTACTTTATGAAAGATATTAATATAAAATGTTTTAAATTGGTTTAAATCCATGTATGATACAAAACAAACAAAAACAACCATGAACATTGTCATTTCATTGCCTGTTTAATTCTTGTTGACGAACAGCACAGAAGACATGGCACCATAATAGCATGTTTACAATATAACAGCTCTGAAACAGGTATTTGCAGTTAGTTAAACTTAAATTCTTTTTTTTTTCGTTATAAAAAAAAAACCAGCCTCATCTATTCATATAAAATGTCAGTGAAAGAACATACAGCAAATAGTCCAGCTCTTGTGTTTATTGGATCTTATTGAATCTGTGAGAAGTCCTCCTTTAGTTCCAAAGCTAAATGAGAACTGCAGGTTGTTGAAATTCCTAAGCAGGAATATTTGATAATTACAGTATTTCGTTTCTTAAAAATATTTCTACTTGACCAATGTCCTTTTTGTTAGACTAATGCATTTTGCATTGAGATAAATATCAGCAACAGAATGAACATAGCCTCAAAAGTCTGCAGAAATGCGTCTAGCAATGCAACAAAGTGTTGGCTTTCCTTGAGGATAAATGCCATGACAGTACACACGTGTTTACCTGTTGGAGGTAGTGGGGACTAAAATCATCATCTCTGAATGCTGTTACGTAAGATGGGCTAGATTCTCAAAACTACATTAGCATGACTATGTGGTTTCAAAACTTGACTATAAGTGTTAATAGACTGTAAGCTTACTTTGTAGAATAGGGTTTTGGTTTGTTTGCATTTTTTATACTTTTCTATTTGTATGAAATACATTTTTATCTCCAAGGATATGTCTTTCATGGACAAAGGTCTAGTCACACTTAATGAAGTGTTCAATAGCAAAGATTAAAGCAATGAAAAAAAAGTTAAGTCCAAATAAAAGCAATTAAAGAAATATGGTGATGGAAACAATTAATTTTATATGAGGTGAAAAAGGTAGATGAGAAAAAAAATCACAGGTCATAGCATTGTTTTACATTGACAATACATCAGGAAGGTACACATGAGCTTTTTTTTTATATATATAAATTTTAATAAGGTATACTGTCATTTACAATGATTTTTTATTCCTAATTATATTATTTGAGAACCTTATATTACTTTTATAGTGAATATGAAGGGATTGTATTAGTAATACTTCAAGTAGTCTATTATTTCCTGTTATTCATCATGCTATAGGTTGCTCCAGGTTAACAAAATTAGGTGGTTGGTTTTTATGAGGGAACATGTAGTTTGCAAGATTGGCTCCTAATCAGCAGCTGTTGCTGGAAGTTACTTGCTGGGATTATTGTCTCTGTTTGCTCTATCCAGAGTAAAAAATAGGGAGACTTTTCATGGTGTTTTGACAATTCCCTCTGTCAGTCTCCAAGTGACTGTTTGGGGCTGCTCAGCCTAATGCAAAAGCTTTCCACTGTGTAAAGGTTCCTTGTTCCAGAGCTGCCCTGTGCACAGCATTAATTGTTTATCAGATTTCCTATAAACATCTGTAGAATACTTTCCATCTGTTGAAAGGAAACATTCTTTTGCCTTGTGTTGATATGGTGAACAACTTAAAGCATGTTTTACTGTCATTTATAACTATCTGTTACTAGCTTGCAACTAATTATTATTATTTAACTTATTTATTATAGTAATTGAAACTAATCTATTATTATTTAGTTAGCTCCCAATGTATTTTAAATTAATGACTTTCCCCTCATGAAACTTTCTTAGCGAACTTGGCAAGAGTGAAAAATTCCGTCTGCATTTGTAACATCTGTGACCTTTTGGGTAATTCTAATTATTATATAAATGGAAGAAATGCTTTTTATAGAACTCGGTGATCTTCCATTTCTGCAGACCAACCAATATGTGCAATACTTTTGGATAAAAAAGATTTACATTTGAAGTAACACCTAATTGCTTTTGGATATTTTTTTTTTTTTTGACTTGCCTGGTCTTCAAGGTTATTATTCATCATTGGACTGCAGCACACTCTAATGCGACTTACATGGCATATAATTATGTTGTAAATAGTCACCTGAGGTTAAAGAAACTTTCATGCTGAATTGTTTGCACTACTGGCACCCTCACTGATGGGTCTGGCTCTGAGACTAAATATGCAGTAAAATTAAGTGTAGAATTTCTGCAGTTATGGAAAAAAGGCATTTTTTTTTCACACATATAGATCAGAGAGATAAAGGTTCTTGGATGGAAGAATTTAATCTAAAATGTAAATCATCCCTACAGTGGTTTAGCATATTTGTTTACTAGCATTGCTACTTTTCTGAGGCTTATTATGTATTGAATATATTCAGTACTCCTGATTTTCTGATAAAGGAAAGAGGTAGACATACACAAAATGGAGAGGTTCACTATTTAAATCTAGGAAATATATATTTTTTAATTGCTCAATGGAGATTACTTTTCAGAAGGCTGCCAAATAGCACTTACTGAAGTCTTGTGATCTATTTGTAAGTAACTGCTCTTTTTAGGAATGCAGCTTTCATGCACAGGGATTACTGGATTACTGTCCTGTCATACATACCTACATGGCCTTTTGTACAGCTTTTGTAGTGACTTTGTTCCTCTGCTATTTCTTCTATGCATATCCTAGCTATTCCACCAAAAAACAAACAAACAAAAAAAACACCTCTTAAAATAGCTGTTTTGTTTGTTTTGTTTTTTCATTACACTCTTACTGCTGAAAAGGGTGGATTGTTTCTGGTGAACTTTGCTGTATCACTTAACACAAAGGTTTTAGTTTGCAAAGAAGAGAGAGAACTGGAACACTGAAATGCCATATTCATATTTGGGAGTGCAACTGTGAAAACAGAACTGGTGGAAGCATTTATTATGTAGAATTTGATCAAATGGAATCTGCTTTTTTTTTTTTTTTAATTTTTAAATTTTATTTTTTCGGGACAGCACAAAATAAACACTTGGCATACTTGCTTTGATCCTGGCCTGCAACCAGAATGCTCTTTTCTCTTTCCCTCTTGAGACGATAGCAAATGTTCATGTAAGTAAAAGGAGGAATGACAAAGGAATCAAGCACTAGCTGTAGACAACAGGTAGCTAATTAACTATGGAAAACATCTGCTCACAGCTCCTCACAAGGGACTGGCTGTGAGTTTGAAGAGAGAGAAGGATTTAAATGGATTGGAATTGCTTTTGCTGTTCAGAAGTGATGAACGTTTTGCTTATTGATCACTGAGTGGGTTTTGTACAATTTAGTAACTTTCAGTTCTGTGGTGTGGTACAAAAGTATATGGAGGTAAAGAGTCCCAACATTAATAAATGTTCCTGTTTATGTGCCTGTTACATCAAAAAGAATTTCTCTGATGTGATGGACAGATTGCTTTGGTATTTGACATTTAGTCCTGAACTCATATGGTGAAGTCTCTAAAAGAGTTAAAGCATCTTAAACAGCATCAGAATAAAAGGAGCGTTTTCTTTCTTTTTTTTCCCCTGTAGTAGAACTATGGTGATGTGTGCAGTTTTAAAGAAAATGGGAATGTACTGTAAATCGGTAACATTTTGTTTCAATTGCAGCTGAAAACCGAAAACATCCAGTCAGATAAAATTATACATATATTATATATAGATGATACATAGATGATACAGAAAGATATATGATGCCTGTCATGGTTCATATTATCTTAAATTGGCAGATAACAGATGAAGTGGTGTTCAAAGAATTTTAATAACCATGAGTGAGATCATTTAGAGTGTAAAAAGATAAATGAAAATGGTTAGGTAAATTTTAAGAATTCATACCTGTGGTTCAGCTTCCAAATTTATCTTGAAGGGATGTGCTTTGCCATCTTCTGAAACTTGTGGGGACCATAATTTAGTCTCTTTCCTAGAGAGAAAGAAAGGAAGAAATTAACTTGAATTCCTGTATATTTGTATATTTCCATGTAAAATATAATGCAGTGTGGAAATTTGTAGTTTGTTCTATGCTTTGTTAATATTTTGACATAAAAATACCTTAACAGTTTATAGTGTACTGTACATAAACTGTATAAAAATTTTCTATTTTAAATTTTAAAAAGTGCTTTGAACAATGGGAAATAATTTAATAGTTAATGAAATGCAAAGACAAATTAGTCCCTTTATGACCAGGACAGACCAAGCTTTGTACAGTTTTGTTTTTCTTACTGGCTGATAGGTTAATATTTTTCACAAATAAGTTTATATATTAGTAATTTTCCTAAACCTCAGCAATTTCAGTTTTTGTGTTTTTTTTTTTTTTTTTTTGACTACAATATCCAAATAAGGGCTAATTTTTCAATGCAGGAGGATTGCAGTCTTGGTTTTCAAAGTATATATACAATTGTAAATAAAAGCTTCATATGTGGCTCTTTCAGTTGCTTAATCAGGGACAGCAAACATGCAAATACCTGCTACAATTCTGCCTTCACTGACAACAGGAAATTTGGTAGCTGATTTTGAAATGTTGTAATATTATTCTTAAATATTGATCTTGTGTGTACATAGCAGTACTGTTTGTTATACAAATCTAAATATTCAGCATATTCTTAAATATGCACATATTTCATACAGGCAATTACACTTACCATATTTTTAAATACTTGCTAAATGGTATATTGCAATCTGTAACAGATTGATATACTGGCATTAAGTATGGGAAATTTTTATTCAGGACCAGAGCTCTAGTAACTAGACAATTCTCCTTCCAAGAAAAATACTCCTTTATTTAGAGAGGCATATTGTGGTCAGCAGTAACGAAGTGCTGTGCCTCCTGGAGGGCATCAGGTTGGTCTGAGCAGGCTGATTCCTGGAGACAGCTGGGAAAGTACGCCAGGTGATTCTGATTAAAGGCTGAGCAAATTCAGTTAGGAGATGTGTAGATGCAGGTTGGTTTTTTTTGGTAGCTTTAGTGGAGAGAAATGACCACACAAAGTTTCTGGACTCCTGCATTTTAGGTAAGAGAGATTTTTTCTTCTTTTTTTCACGTTGCTTGGAAAGTCCTTGTGTGTGTGTGTGTGTGTGTGTTTTTTTTTTTTTTTTAATTTATATATTGTATATTGTGACCATAAAGGAAAGCCTTACGCCTCCCTTATTTGTTCCTCCTTGTGAAAGTGTGCTGTGACGTTGCTTTCCATAACTGGGAAGATATGCTAGCAGCTTTGCCTGTGCTTGAGGACAGGAGGCAATGATCAGCATCTGGAGCTGGGGCAGTGTCAGAGCAGAGCAGTAACTAAAAAAGTGACAACTACCCAAGGACTCTGTTGTGGCACTTTACAGCTCCTAATTTCCAAAGAATGTAAAGTGCTGTCTGTTTCTGACATCAAATGTAGGCTTTGTGACATCAGGGGAGGCAGTAAGTGGTCTGTTTGTAGCTCAGTGAAGGCGGCGAGTTGCCTGAGGGAAGCTGCTCCTGTGCCAGAGGGTGTGCTCTGGGGAATCTGGCCTGGTCTGTAGCTGGTGAGGTAGGTTGTAATTTTAAAGGTTTTGCGAAATTCTTAAAGCTCTTTTACCTAGTTAGGCTGTATGATAGTTAGACTGTGTTAATCAGCTGGTTGGGCAGCATCAGGAGCAAGCAGATGTGCACACATACCTCTCTATTCTCAAGCATAGCTGATGTGCCGCTGCTTTAATTCTCTCCTGGGCGTCATTGTGTGTCATGTTCTCTGTGCTCAGGCCATCAATAGCCACAATAACATCACCAGGGCTCAGGTTGGCAGCTGAAGCCTTGCTTCCAGGTGTAATCTGAAAAACAAATTGTGACTGCTTACTTAAATTGCATACATACCTTAAAAACTGAGAGAGAAAAACAAATGTCACCATGCTTCCCTGTTGCGTTGGGGGTGGGTGTGTAAACAACTGTATGATTGCTCTTAAAAAAAAAAAAAACAAAACAAAAAAAACCAAAACACAACAACTGTATTCTTAATTCTTCTGTTTCCTCTGTAGTTCCACTGTCAGCTCACCACTTAAATGCTGTACTCATCATAACTTCAAAGTAGATGAAAATTGTCTTCACGCTTCTGCGTTAAATAATTTCCACTCCAATTTGTGTAATTGCTTTAACTTGTCCTTGAATCTTCTGTCTCAGCTGCCAGTTCAGTTCTCTCTCCTGACTTCACGCAATAGCAGAATAGCACACTGCTTAACAGTTGTGCCACTTAATGCTCAGGTGTGTGACCTGCCATTGATGGGCAACACGCAAAATCATTTGTGGTCTTACTGTGTTTAAGGACAATTTACAGTAGCTACTGTATTTCCTGCTAGCTTGGCCTCTCCTAATAAATATGCTCATAATACTGAAAACATATATTTATTCATGTCTAATCCAGATCCCAAACTCCTTAGAGTACTGAACTTTAAGTTCTGCTGCACCTGAGTAGCAGTGGCCCCTATCTTTCAAGGTGATCGGTGTGGTGCAATTCATACCTCAGGGAAATGCGCCAACATCAGTGACATTCAGAGACATAGCCCTAAGGGTTTTTTTTGTTTGATTTCATTAAATGAAATCAAAGTATATATGGAACAAAGTGTTAAGGTGCCTTGAGCAAGAATCAAGAAAGTTACTCAGGTTCTAAGTCTAGGGTCTCCAAAACTGTCTGTTTTTAAAACTTCAACAGCTTTTAGCTTAAATAAGCCACATTGAGATGGCATACATAATGGTAGTAACAAATACATGGGTGAAGTGTGATCATGCTTCTCCCTGTAACCTGGAATGGCTTCTGACTTTGCCTAGCATGTTGTGGATATGCACGGGATGACAAACTGCAGGACAGTTCCATACCATGACAGAGCATTAGCAGCCAGACTGATATTCTAAATAGAAGAAGTGCTGCAGAGTTACGTTTGATAGGAAGGGACCAGGCTGTGCCTTGCAAGATCACGGTGTGATATTGATATTGTGGGTACCTCAGCAATGCAGGTGATGCTGTTTCGTAAGGAACTTAGTCATGATGTATGAAATGCAGCTTGTGACTTCTTAGAACCATGTTATGACCACAGTGTGTGTTGCTTGCCACTCCCTGCTTCATGAAGTAGATCCTCCTGGTGCTTTCTGAAAATGTTAGCCTTGCTCTTCAGGACGTGTCTGTATGGCACATCTGTTGCTCCTGTATCCTAGGTAACTCCAATTTGGATAAATACAAGGATATGTGTTGATCATCCTGACGTTGTTGGAGATAAAATAACTATTTAACCCCATGCAGGGCAATGTCTTTTGTGATGCTTTGAAGAAAAACTCTCATCATCTGTTTAATAGACTTATGAAACCTCTCATGACACACCTTCATAAATATTTCAAGCTCTGTGTTTTCTGAAGAGGTATGAATGTCTGCAGACAGAGGCTAAATATAAAACTGAGTTAATATAAACACTTCCATTGTGATCTGTAAATGTTTATAGTAAGACAGAATTTAAATATAGAGTTGATATTTTACCATTCCTTCCAACCTCTACAAGCTTTAATTTTCTGTAACTCTATTCAATATTAAAGTCTAGGATGGCATTCCTCTAAACGCCTAGCCCCGGATCTTCTGTTCAGTACAGACTGAAGTTAGTCAGTTTTATTAAGATTGGGGTTTTGATCAGTTTCCCTTACCTAATTCCTTTGCATCTATGTGAAGTCCCAAGGATTTTAAGGAAAGTTTTCCTGATTTCTAGTTAGATTCTACTAGGGTCAAAAATCAAGCAACTAACTGAATGCATCTATTTTTAGTCCCTTCCTGGTCTACTTCCCTCCCAGTGATTGGGACCTGCTGTGGTTTTTGCATTTGCTTGAAACAGTCAAGACAATTGCCTTGCTTGGGAAACTGCAGATGAATTTTTGAGATGACATCTGTTCTTTAGACAGGTGTAAGATGATCTCTTGTTGTCTGTCTCTCAGACAAGTCCTGGTAAAAGCTCCTTTTTGTTGAACAGGGGCTATAGCCAACCAAACTTACAGCTGTCCTATTATTTTTTTTCAAAATATTTTAAAATGATTTCTATTTATTGTTTTAATGGCTAATAATACTTCTTGTCAGAACAGTTAAGGCAAATGTGAATGGAGGGCTGGTGATACCTTATATTAAAGGAAAATCTAGACTGTAAAGAAGAGGGTGTTTTAATCTTGCAAAATATTCACCAGCTCTTAAGAGCTACAGCATTAATACTTATTTAAGGATTCTTCTAAATGTATACTGTGATAGCAAATATATTAATACGAAACAAATCTACCATTAATTTTTTTGGTAGATAGACTAAATGTCTAACAGACTAAACAGACTTAAATGTCCTCTCTCATATATATATATATATATATATATATATGTATATAATTTCATAGATCTACTTATAATGTGATTTTTGAGCATTGAGATAATTTGCTAGAAGCCAGTGGCTTATGTCTTGTGAGGCATTTGGTGGGTATGAGTCAATTGTAAAATCATTTATTCTTTAGAAAGCTACATTTATAGTAACGTCCTTTGTTACTACAGTTTTAAACTTCATTGTACTTAATCTAAACACAGGGAAAATACAAACCAGACACTGCTAAAATATTTTTCATTAGAGATAATGGAAACTATTTTTCTTTTAGAGGCCCATAAAAGGCAATGAAGGCCCCAAAATATCCAGAGATTTTCTTTCTTTTTTTTTTTTTTTTTTTTTTCTATTTCAGTTTCTTTTTTTTTTTGGTTTGTCTAAGGTTGTGCTACGTCTGATGAACATTTGTTCTGAAGTCACATAAAGTCAAGTAATACCATTCTCTTTTGCTTACTTTTAAAATAAGTAATGTTTTATGCTTGTATGCATCTGGACTAAGTGTTTAAATGAAACTAACTTTTACTGGTATAATATGTGAGGGGTTTGTGCTTAAACTTTCTGAAGACTCCTGTTTGGAAGCATATTTACTGCAAGGCATCACCAGCGGTATCCATCCTTCAAGGCTCCTGACGTTTATTTAATACCAGACATAGTGTATATATTGAGTCATAGTGCAGGGCTTGGGGGGGGGGAGGAGGCATGGATGATTTGGAGTCTCATGCAACATGCACTTGGTGTGTTAGGTGCTGAGAAGCAGCAAGAATACAAGGAAGATAATAATTCTCATCTTTGTGCTGAATACTGATTTTCAAAATATGAAAGCTATCAATTTTTAAAAATATCAAATTATTTTTAAGGCCATTAGGTGGATCTATATCTGTAGATGCATACAGGTATCTGTAGATACCTGTAGACTTTTACATGCTACATGCATCAAGTAATTAGTTTCTTAAATAAATTCCAATTAATAGTTCAAAATCCATGGGAAAAATGAAGACTCAGGCTCTTGCTGCCCTTTAGTGGTGTGCGTGTAATAGAAATTGTCTGTTACTAAATATGGCAGAAAGCACTGAAGAATTCTCTCCTGCATATTCAGGATTAGGTAACTTTAGGTAATTCCCTGATTCAACATTCATGGAAGTGAAAACTTATGCACATAAAAACAGGTGTTGTTGCCTTCCTTGTCAACATGCAGATTTTACTGTAATTAAATGAGGGTCAGATCAATCTTGTGAAGTTGGCACAAAGCACACGACATACAAGACATGAGGAGCTGCTGCCCAGCACTTTCTCCCCCAGTAAGTGCACAGGACGGCTGTGGAAATGGTAGAGCTGGGCTCTGGCCTCCAGGAGGCTCAGGACTTATTTTCTCATCTGACTGCCCAGGGAAGCGATGCCAGAGTTTTCCTGCTGCCAAGGCACTCGATTTTAATTTTTGAGGCATGAGTAGAAAATGCACTTAATCTCCTTTAGACCAATAAAGCAATCCTAGAAAGACAGATAAAGCTTGTAAAAACACTTCATTTTCAGCTAGCTCTCCTCTTAGTAACTAGTAACTCCTTGCTCATCTACTCACACTTTTTTCTCTGCATCTTTGAGATTGAGGAAAACTAAGGGCAAACATCTGCAATAGCTAGAAAATGCAATAAACAGCAGGGAAATTGAAAGGTACGTACCCTGGTTATGATCAAGGGTTGGTTAAAGTCTATTCCTCCCGAGAGCCTGAATCCCCAGGGTGCTGGTCCTTGGAGAACAACGTTCTGGGGCATCGTGGGCGTGTGTCCTGGGGCTCTCCCGCTCTTTTCCTGTAGGTTGTGGGGAGGTGGGTGCTGCTGGCAGGGCACCTGCTGGACGGGTCACCCCACAGCTGCGGGTGCCGGGCTTTATCCCTGCTCCTCGGGTGACGTCAGCCAGCCCCTCGGCTTCTCCACCCACAGAGGGGAGTACCAGGCTCGGACAAATAAAGCCCGAGCGCTGGAAAGTTTACAAGTTCATCAGCTTTGTCTGCTGCTTCAGAGTCCCCCTTGGCCCGAAAGTCAGCCAGCTTCAGGATGCGAGCTTCTGGCTTCTTAAGGCAGCCCCCTTCCCACTTGTATAGGGCTGGTGCTCTCCTGAGCTGTGCAGCACGCTGCTCTGACTGTGTGTGTGATTCTGCTTTGTGTAAACAAACACAAGGGAGATTTCCCTCTCGAGCTGGTGTTTCACAACTTGTCTGACTTGTAACGCAATAGTTCACTGCAGCGAAATGTCCCCCCAGCCCTTCAGCAGAGTGTTTCAGCTGCAGTTACTTGAGAGCACAGCACGCACTCACTCAAATGGCTTGAAAAACTTCGGACCGATGTCATGCACGTTTCTCGTTCTGAGGGAGAGAAATGCTGTATTAGTTGATGATGCCTCTGCTTTTCATAGAAATCTCGGTGTTTTGTAAGACAGCTCCAGACACCTTCTGCTGGTTGTGTTAGTGAATAAACGCTCTGTGCTCTTTTTGATTTTCTTGCATCAGCTCATTCAGCTTTATTCTGACTTCTGTACCCCTTTTATATTGCTCCAAAAGAGAGGGGGAGTTTTGCAGTGGTGGTGTCTGTGTTCACTCACTTTCTTATCATGCTGTTAGAGTTTTCCACTTCTGTGTGCTATTACCAAAGTTAATTGTGCGTGTATAATGTTCTCAAGCATCTCTTGAAGTTTGGCCTCTAAGGTCACTATCTACAGCTCTAATCAGGCAGAACTCAGAGCTGCTTTTTTTTTTTTTTTTTTTTTTTTCCCATGAATGAGTCAATAGTAAGTCAGTGAGAGAGCTTGGAAAGAATAAAAACTGAGGAGAATATGTATTTTGATGTAACGTGTCATGTTTTCTACACTTTAGGAAAGTTTTTTTTTTTTATGGCTGTTGTTTCATATGGTAGAGGATTTACCTCCTTTGGTTCACTCTGTGCGTTTGCCTTTCCTACTGCCCGTAGCCTGCATAGAGGGGAGTCTGGTGGACAAGAGAGTAGTGAGATAGGCATGAATCTGCATTTTATTCTTTCATATAATTTATGTTATGGGTCATGTGTTTATCTGCATATGTCAAGATAAAATCGGCTTCCACCCCTTACTCCTCTGACTTGCTGAACGTCCTTATCTGTGTCTACTGATAACGTCTGTATAGTGAAAGTCCTTCTCACTAAGATATCTTCATATCTTGAGTGTGTGGTGTTTTTTTGTTTGTTTTGTTTTGTTCCCTGAGGACTCTGAAAGTTAGCCTTGGAATTTTCTTCTGTGGTATTTGCCCTTTATTCGTGGCTTGCTAGTAGATAGGAGTGTATGTTGTGAGGGTTTGCACTGTGTTCTTGTCCAGAATATGCTCTAACAATATGAAAGGCCTTTGAAATATTTTGAACAGTGAGTGGAACAAGAGAAATGGCAGTACCTGTCTCCAAAAAAAAACAAACAACCTGAGAGAAGAGACCCATATCAGAAAGCTTGTGGCTTGACAGCTGCCATGAGCTTGGGGGAGAGGTTAGCTTATGCTAAGGAACATAGGCACATTCAAAGAAATAGAGTAAGGCAGGTATTTAGTTCAGGGACATATCAATCTTGGTGGCTAAAATATTTTGTATATTTTAAAGTTTTGAAAAAACCTCTCATTGCTTGTGACCAGTGTATATGCTCTGATATGTTCTGACACGGTTCAATATGTGCATTCAATATACTGATGCTCTGCTTCCATGGTTCATCCTCCCAGGTTTCATTATGCGTTCAACGTCAGAATTTATCGCTGTTTAGTACTTCAGTTTCTTTTTCCTTCCTCTCCGATACTGGTGTTGAGTGAAAACACTCCAGTGTTTGGTACCTTCCCCTTCACCCCTTCTTTTCCTAGTGAATCCTGTAATGTCTCTGTTGCTGGGAATGTATAGCATGTTAGATGGACTCATTTTAAGAGTTTCTTCTTGTGCAATTTGCCTTTTAATTTTTCTTGAGTACTGGCAACCTCAAATAATGAGTCATGCAGTCCTCTTTGATAGAAAAGGAACAAGAAATGTAAGAATTTCTGTATCAGATTAAACCCATGTTCAGACTCTCAGTTTCCAGTGCCAAAAAATAGATACTTGTATAATAACTGGTTCATTTGAGATGTGTCTTCCAAATTCTTGATAGTAAGTTATTGGGTTAGATCTTAATATTTAAACTTACTTTATTTTTGTTATTTCATAAATCCCATTTAAATCCTGCTATGTGTTCTGACTGCTGGTGAAGTAACTACGGGGTGGTTATCTGATCATCTGGGGACAGCTGTTAGTTGGTGAAAACAGCTTCAGATGGCTTAAGTGTCCATCAGGTTTGTTCTTGTCTCTTCACTATATTGAGATCTGCTTTTGCACCCTTTCCCAACTTAATATATACATGTAGGTGGAGGGCAGGCATAACCTTTTACTAGGCAGGTAATTGCTCTTAACTGCAGTGGAAGTTATATGCCCAGGTGAGACCGAGCTATGGCTTAAAGATTTTCATTTTTTATTTCCTACCTTGTTTAATGGAAGAGTGACTTGCTCTCCAAGGTGCTGCTGTTCAGATGGCAACTGCTAGATCCTGTTTTATTGATGTGTCGCTGGTTCAGCTTTAAGCCTGTGCACTCTCTTTTTCCTATAATTCTCTCTCTCTCTCAAAAGGCAATATTATATTGATTGATACATGTGACATAAGGCTGTTTCCTAGTTTCCTTTCAGTGGCTGCTTTTAAGAAAGCCTTTCACCCATTTACAGAACGTGTATACATTTTTATCTCTCTGAAGGTCTTCTGTTGTTTTTCACACTGGGCTAAGATGATCAGCTGAGCTGGGCTGAAGCAAAAGCCTTTTTCCATGTATTAGAGGTATATCCTAGAAGTGAAATAAAGGCTGCTTTCTTCCCCTCTGTTGGGTTTAAAGGATCTTACCCAGAAGAATATTGTCACGGCACAGGCTTTGCTAAAAATACTGAGCAGCTTTTAAATAGGCAGATCTTGAAATTAAAAGTTCATTGTAATGAAATCATATGAAACAGAGTAAGATGAATCTCCCAAGTTAATGACAGTACACATTTCAAACAACATACCCAGGTATAACTCTGCTTGTTATTTTGGCTTTCATAATAGTTCTAGCTATGAAAATGGATTTTTGTAAATACATAGTAGTGACATATTTTTAGTTTTATTTTATTGCGCTGTTGAAGCGTCCATTTAAGAAAACAATTTATTTTACTACTTCTTGTTTCATTATAGTATAAGATCATGGCTGTTAAAGCTTTGCTAACCTGCAAATGCGTGTCTTCTGAATTTCATGGCTGTGCTGTGAATTTATGCACAGAGTAGCCTTCACTGATTGCTTTGTAGTGTGACTAACCATAATGTTTGAAGCAGACTTTTGCTGTCTGTAGATTAGCATTTCATTTGATATTTGTGCCAAATGTTATATTTCTACTCAATGCAATCTAAAAGTGCGCAACTCCACATCTAATTATTTTTACTGAACCAGAAAAAAGAATCCCAGCTGTGTTGATGTTACTCCTATCACTCATTTCTTCAAGATCCATGAAGTGGGGTCACAAATTAGGCATCAGAATAGCAGCAAGATGTGCAAACTCATTGTTGCATGCTATGCCACCTCACTAGTTTTGGACAATCAAATCCATGTCAGAATATTGGGTGTCAGCTTCCCTTTTCTTTACCAGTGCATCCCTGCCTCGATGGAAGGAAGTCGTTTTTTGGCTAATCACCATAGTGTGTGTTGACAAACAAGTTATTAATAGCATTTCATTTCTCTTTAGTAATAAAAAATACCAAATATTTGACACTGATTCATCTTTCTGTAAAATCACAGAATGCTCTGTTGCAGGCTGCAGAGCCAGAATAAACCCTGGCAGAAGCAGAAATAAACAAAGTCCTCTGGCTCTGCATTTTAAGTCAGAAGTCTGCTAAACCTCCTGTCCTATCTTGAAGCTTAGTCTCTGTAACGTGTACTGAACTGAGCCTCTTTTTGTGAAGGTTAGACAGGAACAGCCTAGGAAACGAAGCGGAGCTTAAAAACTCCCTTGCCCAGGTGGAACAGTCTGCAATCAGACTGGCTCTCCAGGGGTGGAAGGCCAGAAAATTCCCTACTGCACAGCCTGACTTCTATTTTGAAACACATGTGTACATAGGAAATCTACTTATAATAAATGCTAGTTATTTTTAAATGATTTCCCAAGCCGTTCATGTACAGTTTAGAGTTATTTCTAAGTGCCTCACAAGGAGCAGGGATAGTTAAGAGCTTGAATCCCAATGAAATTTCTGTTACCAGCTTTTGGTTGGTGGATGTCTAGTACCCTAGCAGTACCCTTCATTTTCCTTGGCAAAGGAGAAATACTCTGTCAATTTCCTAGCTGGTACAAAAAGGATCTCTGTTATTTTCCTCAAACCCCTGGCAAAGAGAGGAGGAGTGGGACTTTGGTACTGTACTCCTCTTCCAGGCGTTAGCTGGGAAAGCCACGTGAGGTGGAGAAGGGCATTTCTACAGGTCCTCCCTTACCCCCAGCTTTGTGGTTACTGTGAAACAGAGATTTGGCTCAACTGTCCTCTCATTTTAAGATTTTGTTCATCATTCTCCCATGGCTTTGATGCATCTCTCTGCTGATCAGGTGCTGAGTAGCAAGCTTCCACTGATGAGCACCTTCTCAAGTTTTCTGTCTGTAGGCTTGTTAAGCCAGGAACACATTGTCTGGTATGTCCGTTCTCATTAATTTCTTTAAAAAGGTAATAAATTTGTTCTGAAAGTAATGAAAAAAATGAAAACAAAGGCTTAAGCCTACTTTCTCCAAGAAGCTTCCTAGTTAGTGAGTGGGGAGTAAAGATCTCATCTAAATTAACAAGCAAATAAGTGGAAAGTAAATTTTTATTGCTCTTGAATATTTTGGAACTCTACTTCATAAACTCCTAAGCAAGTTGAAAGAAGAAATTGAAAACTTCTGTTCTTAAAGACTTCTTTTTGTTTGTTTGTTTTCATCTTATCTGAAACTTATGCACTGATTTTCTTGTTTGCATTTCATTTTTTAAAAAAGGCACAAAGGAGAATTTGGAGACATAACTTGACTGGT